TTTCCATAAACTGTAGAAAAGAAACAGTCTCCGGCTACCTAACTGTGAAATGCCCAACTTGGGACTTCCATTAACTTTTGACCTTTCTTGGAAACCTATAGGGAGAGGTTTCAATTTTTCTAAGTTGGCTCTTGAAGACTGGAGTACTTTTTTAGCAGCCGTATTAAGATACAACTTCTTCAATATACCAGAGTGGACTGGCTTTCAGACCCCTCCCAAATATGTGGTAGAGGCACATGTGAATGGAATTCTAAGGTTTCTGTGTTCTGCTGCTTTGGTTTCCCATCATTATCAAGATGGGTCAAATCTAAGAGACCACAGATATCAGTACTATTCATTCTAGAAACTTGTGTGTCAGCTGAGGACAGCAAAATGTTCCAACACTGTCCAAATTAATATTCCCTTTAGCACAGGGAATACATTCTGGAAATGGGAGAGAACTAACTATAGAGTCCTTTTGCAGACGTTGCTCTAGTGTTGCAAGGTGGTGGAGTTCTCTTCATATCCCCCGAAGTTATAAAATGTCTCTAGTACTGATTTCTTCCAGCAATTAGTCATTCAGCAGTTGATCAATCCTCCTGCTGTGGCATAGTTAGGACATCTCTTATAATGTCAAAGAGCTTGCTCCATTCCCTGATTGCTGATCCTTACCTTTGTTTCCTGAACACTTTCCTCAAAGATGCCTCAGGGACACCAAAAAACTCCCATTTTAACATTCAGCATGATGGTCTTCCTTTATTTCTCTGTGGCAGGCAGGGCACCATGACTCACACATTTTGTTAGCCATTATGGGTCAAAACTGTCTCCCAGCAGGATTCCTGGGTGGATCAGTCCATTGTGCAACTGACTCTTGATTTCAGCTCTGGTCATGATCTCTGGGTCCTGAGATTGAGCCCGAGTAGAATCGAGTGGGGCTCCATGCTCAGCAGGGAGTCCCTGCTGCAGGATTCTCTCTCTCTCCCCACCCCTTCCCCTTCTAAGAAATAAATAAATCTTAAACAAAACAAAAACCTGTCTTCCAGGACACAAAATTACAGAAAAATAGGTCACAGAGAACTAAACAACAAACTGCAGAACTCAGTTGAAGCAGCAGCTCCACGGTTCCTACCTGGTCCAGGCCACCATTACCTTACTTGGATTATTGCAAAAGGCTCGTAAGTCATCTTCCTGAATATACTTTCCCCTGCCGGTTATTCTCCAAAAGCAGCCAGAGTGTTCCTTTAAAAATGTTAGTCAGGTCATGTCACTCCTGGGCTCACAATTCTCCAATGAATTCACTTTCACTAAGAGAAAAATCTGAAATTGGCTTCACTTTCTTCAGGTCTGCGTTCAAATGTCGCCTTAATCATGAATCCTTTTCCAACCACCCCACATAAAATATCGACTTTCCCATCCCCACCTCTGTACCACTCCAAATTCCCCCTCTCCTGCTCTTTTCCCCATCCATAGCACCTAGCCTATTGTCACCTACTATATATTTGCTGATATGATGTGTGGTAGATTATAGTTTCCAAGATGGCAACAAGATTTCCTATGCCACAGACTCTTCTTACCATGTGGTATTTCTGCTACTTCCTTCAAGAGATGTTTCCCACTGGCCTTCAATCGAGGGCAGCCTGCAAATGTGGTGGAAATGATGCTTTGTGACCTCTGAGGCTAGGTCACAAAAAGCCATACAATTTCTGCCTGGTCCTCTTGAGGCACTCAATCTTGGAATTCAGCCACTATGATATGAGGAAGCCCAGGCCACATGGAGAGGCCAACAGTCAGCTGTTCTGGCCAACAGCCATCACCAACTTCCAGATATTTGAGGAAGCTTTTGAGATGATTTCAGCCCCAGCTACTGTATGAGACTCCGAGTGAAAACTGCTTGGCTTAGCTTAATTGCCTCCCAGAACCATGAAAGACAACAAAATTGTTGTAGTTCTAAGCCACCAAGTTTTGGGGCCATTTCTTATTCAACGATAGATAGTGGAACAATTTGTCTATGTATATATTGTATATCTCCCCCCACTAGAGTACAAGTTTCATGAAATCAGGAACTTTGTTTGCTTGCTTTGTTGCTGTACTCCCAACACCTAGACAAGTGCTTGCATATAGCAAAGTACTCAATTAAAAATGTGGTGAAGAAGTGAATGGATACATGACACATTTTCAGCATGGTACACTAATGGTTATTGGTCAACAGTATGCCATACAGTCTGCTGGACTAGACCTCATTGGCAGAGAGGATGAGCTAGAATTTTCAGTATGGCCAAATCATTTCAACAAGAATATTTCAGAGGCAAATAATATTATAATGAATTATAATTACTGCAGGAAAGCATAAAATAGGATTTGAGCTTCATGTAGATTTGTCTTCCGGTGATTGATTCCATAATCCCATCATGGGCTTTTCCAGATCAGGTCTGGAAAGGCTTCAGAAGCACTTTCAGAAGGATTAGTGATTTTTTTTTTCCCAATCCAAATAATAAAGATCTTGCTAAAAATGACAAGCTGAAATCATTCACATGTTCTTGGTATGAAATGAGATGAAGTGGAATGAAAATGGATGGCATCATGTACACACACGTGCATGGGTGCACAATTTCTAATGCCTACTTCCATGGCCTATTTTTGGTCTGGTGGTTTGAATGGAATGTACATACATAAAAAATGAATAAATATGGTTCCGAATCTCCCCAGACTTGCATTAAGTACTTCAATTTACATTTGGTTTGGAGCAAGTATTTGTGTATTGCTTGGAGAGCAACAATATACTCACATATCCAAGGAAAATAATACAATATTATCAACTCTAGAAGTAAAAAAGGACAAAATTTCTTAGCTACCTGGAAGTTACTTTTTGTTTGGGGAAGAATTGCAGGAGGATGATCTTGACTGGACCCATTGGTTTCTTCTTTTTTTTTTTTTTTTAAGATTTTATTTATTTGACAGAGAGAGATCACAAGTAGGCAGAGAGGCAAGCAGAGAGAGAGAGAGAGAGAAGAGGAAGCAGGCTCCCTGAGGAACAGAGAGCCTGATGCAGGACCCGATCCCAGAACCCTGAGATCATGACCTGAGCTGAAGGCAGAGGCTTAACCCACTGAGCCACCCAGGCACCCCGGACCCATTGGTTTCTTTAGGCCCATCCATCTCAGCCTCGATTGGACCAAAAAGCACAGATGTGGAATCTACGTTTTCTTAGAATGGAGGATCTCTGCTGAGTCTATTGAAAATGGCTTCAAAGTAGTTTCCATACATGAATCACTTTGATAAACAATATATGCGATCTTTTTCCAGAATCCAGAAGCCCTCAGAATAAAAATGGATTTTAAAAGTTCTTCACTTAAGGCTAATGCCATAAGGCTACTTGGCTGAATGCCTCCTGAGGAAGAGTGTGTGCCATTTTGCTGCCTTTGTTCTAATGACAGTTGTTGGTGCCATTGGGCCTCACCATCTGGCCTGAGGTATGAGGTTCCCCTCTTGGTTAGGTTCAAGCCTTGGCTGTAAAGTGAGGAGATTCCCAAAATTTACTTGGGAAGTCCAGGCAAGTGATTTGGGCAATCTTTTCTTTGGAAATGCCATTTTTCTCACCAAAATTTATATGTTGCTTCTGAAGCTAATTATTCTTTATTTCATTTAAAAAAAAAAAAAAAATGTTTTTATTTATTTATTTATTTGCAGGCTCAGACAAACTTGACTAGAAAAGAAGCCCAGGCAGGAGTTAGGATGAGCCCATGACGTGCCACATGCTCCAACCAATTGAAAGGCCACGAGAGGGGGAGGGCGGAAGTGACGAGACGTATCCCTCCGCGGGGCGAGAGGGTCGGTGGGGGGAGTCGGCGTTTCTCTCCCCCGCGCCAGCTCCCGTACACGGAGCCGCATTCCTTGGCCCCCCCACCCCCTCCCTCGGGGCCCCCCCGCCCCCCTCGGGAAAAAAAATCCACCCCAAATCACTCGAACCCGAGGGAGGTTTCTTTCACCCTCGGGGAGACGAGCTCTCAACGGTTCCTCTCAGCCGTCTCCCCCAAGCCCCCGTCCCCTCCCCTGCTCCCACCCCCTTCTCCCGGCGCCGGGTGCAAGGTCCCTTTAAGGCGACGGCGCCTTCCTCGGGTCAGACTACCGGCGGCGACGACCACGGGAGGTGAGTGAGCGAGCGGGCGAGCTTTCTCTTTCCCCACCCCCTTCTCCCGGGGGTTCCGTTATCTTTTCGCTAGGCGAGGCGCTCCGAGGCGAGACAATGAGAGGGGGATGGGGCGGGTGCGCGAGGGGTGGGGGCGGGGGCCCGGTAGCGCGCGCCCCCGCCCCCCGCAAGTGGCGGTGCGGCTCGCGGTGGCGGCGGGCGTGGGGAGCGGCGCGCGAGCGCGAGTGTGAGTGCGTGAGTCGCGGGAGCCGCGCGGCGGGTCGGGCCGGGCGGCCCCTACTTGCCTGCCGGCCGCCCCCGCCCCCCGGCGTCCGCCGCGGCGCGCGCGCGCACTCGCGCCCCACGGCCCCGCACACACCCGACGTCCACACGCACGCCCCGCGCGAGGCGTCTCGAAGGAGTGGGCGGGCGCGGGCGCGGGCGGCGGCCCGCGAGGAAGGGGGCGGGGGCGCGGGTGGCTGTGAAACGACTGGGCGCGACGGGAGGGGCAGGCGAGGGGGCGAGGCCGCGGCGAGGTGACGTCCCGGGGTGGGGGGTAGTGCTCGGTTCTCCCGCCGCGCCCCCGCCGGCGAAGGAGTGGGGCGGCCTTTTTGAGCGCGAGGAGAAAAATGAGTGATCGCTGTGCCGCTCCCTTGTGTTATGTAATCTCAGCTAGGTCCAGTAGTACATCCTAAGCCTTAGTGCACTGCGGTTAGTTTACAAATCTCCCTTGGCTCTAAAATTTCTCTGGGTTGGCGCCGTGATTTATAAGATGGGATGAGGCGGAAAATCTTTTATTTTCTGATGATTATATCCTGCCGCGGTGGGCGCCATGTTTATCCCAGGGACTATTTTTTCTAGATTCTCAGCACCTACTGGAAAGGAGTGGTGTCGTTGATCCACCTGCTTTCCTTCCTTTCTGCGAGTTGCCCTGATTTCCTCTCCCATCAGACGCGGAGTTATTAACAGGACATAACTGGACGTATCTCTGCTCACTTTTCTTGGACGTTCTCAGCTCAGAAAAAGGTAGAGCTGAGAAGAGTCTTGGAAGTCAATTAACCCAGTCTCGTTTTCGAAATGGAAATTGGGAAGGAGTTCTACCATCTCAGAACAACTGCCTTCTTGTTGCAGATTGTAGACTAGTCTGCTACGCTCTTTTAGACACCTCCCACCGCAGCTCAAAACCCCAGAGAAATGGTTTTACTTTCAAAGGATTTTTCCTTCTAGAGGGAGGGGAAATGGCAGGGGCAGAGAGGGCTGCTTCCTGATGAACGACGTTGAATTTCCAGACCCTGAGCTGCTCTTGGGACTGGGAGTTGGACTCTGAATTCGAACTAGTTTGCACAATCTTTAACTTTGGGATACTTAAAAAGTTCCTTGGAGATTGCTGAAAGAGCTGCTTGGGGGGCCCTCATCCCCAAGTCTCTTTGGGTGGAATAGGGAGTGCCATCTTTTCGACATTTTTAACTTGCAGCCCTTTGGCTGAGGTAACCACCCCATTGAGAATTATTGGTTTAGTGTAAAAGTGCTCAATATATAATATTAAAACAGTTAAATGGCAATTTACGTCCTTGATTTCCTTCCCCTTAAAGTACCGTTATAACAATCATGATGGTGTATCTCAAACTAAAAGAACAGAATGGGGATTCTTGGGATGAACAGGATTTTGTTTGTTTCCACCCCCACCTAGATTTTGGTGGTATAATCTAGCAAAGCAGGGTTTTTTTTTGTTTTGTTTGTTTGTTTTAGATTTATTTGAGAAAACAAGAGAGAGCACAATTAGGGGGTGGAGGGGCAGAGGGGGAGAGAGAAGCAAGATTCTGCCCTGTGCAGGGAGCCCGGTGTTGGTCTGGGTTGCAGGGCCCTGAGATCATAACCTGAGCTGAAGGCAGGTGCTTAACCAACTGAGCCACCCAGGCCCCCTGCGAAAGCAGTTCTTAAAGTGTGACCCGCTGATCTCTGGGGATTCTTCATACTCTTTCAGGGGAGCTGAGAGGTCATAACTATTTTCAAAATAGAAAATGCTAAGATGCTATTTATCTTTATTCCAGTGACATTTGCACTGATGGCCCAAAAGCAAAGCTGGGTAAAAGTACTGGTGGCGCCTTAGCACACCATGTGAGAATGCCCTTGATGAAGCAGTAAAAATGATTTTTACTAAAGCTCAACTCTTCAGTAGGTTTTTTTTTTTCTTTTCAATTTTTAAGAATCTGAATGGGAAGGTTGCATAAAGCACTTATGCTGCGTAAGAAGGTATGATCCTTCTCACTTGTGAGATTGAGTTATGAGCTGCTTATTTCATGGAACAGCATTTTTACTTGGAAGAATGAATGACAAACTACAGTTTTTCTCACTTTAATGTTTGGCACATACTTTTTTTTTTGAGATTTTATTTATTTATCTGACAGACAGAGATCACAAGTAGGCAGAGAGGCAGGCAGAGAGAGAGAGGAAGGGAAGCAGGCTCCCTGCTGAGCAGAGAGCCAGATGCAGGACCGATCCCAGGACCCTGGGATCATGACCTGAGCCGAAGGCAGCGGCTTAACCCACTGAGCCACCCAGGCACCCCTGGCACATACTTTCTTGATAGTGAGGTGAGCCTGTCGTTTTGAGGAAAGTAAATGACAGTATTTGTTGTTAAAGATAAAAATTTGAGAGTGAAAATTAGAATTTGTTAAAAGTGGACATCTCAGTTTTGACGGCTTTCCCAGTCCTTTTAAGCCTTTTCTTAAAACATCAGTGTTAATGACTGTGATTTTTAAATCTTTTTATATTATATTTATAGTGAAATATGTCAGCATTTGAAGGATGAGCATGTCAGTAAATCTTTATTTCCTAAGTGATCAATATCTGATGTTTCAAAATCATCATGAGTCAATGATCCTTTCAGGATGCAAGGTATACCAGTGTATTTTATTTTACTTTATTATTATTATTTTTTAAGATTTTATTTATTTGTCAGAGAGGGGGGAGAGCACTAGCCCAAGCAGGCTCCCTGCAGGACTCCATCCCAAGACTCTGGGATCAGGTCTAACCTGAAGGCAGACGCTTAACTGACTGAGCCACCTAGGCATTCCTGCACCAGTGGATTTTAATATGTGACAAAGTAGGAAAAGTTGACTGATAGGGATTTAGATTCCAAGATGCAACTATTTTTTTTTTTTTTTAAGATTTTATTTATTTGAGAGAGAGAATGAGAGAGAGAGCATGAGAAGGGGAAGGGTCAGAGGGAGAAGCAGACTCCCTGCCTAGCAGGCAGACCGATGTGGGACTCGATCCTGGGATTCCAGGATCATGACCTGAGCCAAAGGCAGTTGCTTAACCAACTGAGCCACCCAGGTGCCCCGAGATGCAACTATTCTTAAAGAAACTACCATTTGTTGAGTTCTAGTATTGTGTCAATATAGGCAACTACCTGAAAAGGTTTTTATACATTTCTCTTTTCCTGCTATCTGTGAGGCCACATGGTCCATATACTTAACCAAAGCAATATAGAGCAACAGACAGAATGCATTAAGCAGCTATGAGAACCACACTGTCTTCTATTAAGCTAGACCTTAAAGATTGGGAAAATGTAAAACAATGTTACTCTCTAATAATTTGGGGGAAAATAGCTTTTATTTGAAAATGTTACTTAGTTAACTGATGGTTTGTTGTTAATTGCATTGTTAAGTACTTAATTATTTTGTTGTAATGCCTCATGGTAAATATCAAAAGGTGTAATCCACATAAATAAAAACTCCTTTACGGTCCTCAATAATTTTAAGACTGTAAAGGGGTCTCAAGACCAAAAAAAATTTGAGAGTGATCCGATGTGTCTTATGCTTCTGCTTTTGAGATCATCCAGATCTGCCTCCATTTAGGAACTGGAGAATTTACAAATGTTCGTTGGAGTTAATAAAAGAAGAAGCAGTGGCTTGGGGAAGAATTCTAGAGGAAAAGGTTGATTTGAATCCTGGCCTGCATTATAGTTATCTACTAACCATAACCTTGGGCAAGTTACTTAATCTCTCTAAACCTCCTTTTAAATCTCATCTGTAAAATGAAGTACTTAGTTCTACAATTGTAAGAATTCACTGGGATGATGAGTATAAATTACATAATAATGTCTGGGCGTATCACCGTAAAATAAAATACATTCCAGGTAATGTTTCCATCTTTGTTCTACATTTGTGTTTTTTTGTTGAGGGTGGAGATTTCTGATTTAAATTACAAACCTAGAGCTGGTTGGTGCCTTTGTCAAATCTGTTTAAAATTTTATAGATTCTTTGGCATTTCTGGTTTGTGATATTAAAGCCATATCCACAAAAAAGTTTTTACATGTAATTGGGGGGGGAAGAAAAGGTAAGTCTTACTAACGTATTACTGGTATTTAACAAAGTTAAATGAAATTGAGGGAGTAGAAACAAGATTTAGGTATCATAACAACTGTCAGTGAGGAAGAGCTTTTTTTGGGAATGGGACTTCTGAATATTTAGCCCTTTAAAAATAGGGAACTTACTGCTTTAATTGTTGTTTTACTAAAGAGCACATAACTTATATCCAGGTGCTTCTTGGTAGATTTGCTGTCTGCTAAATTGAGAATATTCTTTGTTTGGGAGTATTAGATTATTAATACGTTGTGAATATTATATGTGAGATTCTACAACTGTTAGATTCTGTAAGAGACAAAATAGGTCATGCAAAAGACTGGATAAATAAAAGCTTCTTACAGATATAATAATTAGTTTTATAGCCACGTTAAGTATTAAGTAGTCAGTCCTATAGGTTTTCTAAAAGTAATCTTTTTCAAAGCCAAAAACTGAGTTAACTTGAAAACAAATGCCAGTTGTTTTGAGGATTGTTTTTTTTCTCACTTGGTATAAGAGAAAGTGTATTTGGGGTGCCTGGGTGGCCCAGTGGGTTAAAGCCTCTGCCTTCAGCTCAGGTCATGATCCCAGGGTCCTGGGATCGAGCCCTGCATCGGGCTCTCTGCTCAGCAGGGAGCCTGCTTCCCCCCCCCCCTTTCTGCCTGCCTCTGCCTACTTGTGATCTCTGTCAAATAAATAAAATCTTAAAAAAAGAGAAAGACAGTGTATTCTTAAATGTTTTGTTTGTTTTTTAAAACATTTTTCCTGTTCCAAATGTTCTTTTTATCTTGGTTTATGGGCGGGTATGTACCAGTAGTGAATTGAAAATGTTAAATTCTGAATTCTTCATTCCTGGTATTTACATCTATGAAAGAATCAGACAAATGAAAGGAGTTGAAAGCTTCAAAGCCAAATCTGTCTGGAGAGTTTTGGTAGAAAACATGTTTTCCTAATATTATTTGAGATGAGGGTAGATAAACATTTGCTGCCCATTAAGTACCTCAAAAGTAGACTGACAGGTGTATCTGCTGGATTCTTTCTGTTGTTTTTAAATAACAGGTTGTTTGTAAAGATTCTTTGTATCTTGTTTTTCGATTATGTAGACTTTTACTAATTAGGGGTTGAGTATAGACTACCATATTTGCCAGCACTTAAGATATAATTAATTAATTTCTCTCTAGAAAGATGTATCTGGTATACCCATATTGTGGATGGAAAGATGAATGCCAGAGATTTAAAAGGCTATGGGAATTGCTGATAGTCCTGTGTGAGCTTCAGTGTTGAGTAAAGCCTACTGAGTACACAAAAATTATGTTGTCAATGTAATTACTGTTATAAAATACAGAAATTAGATAGGTTACCAAGATGTCAGATAATGGGTTGGAAATTATGGAAGATGGCAAAGTTCATCTCCTCTTAGAGTATCTCCTTGGTAGCCTACATAATCCACCTTAGATTCATGTCTTTTTTCTAACATTACTTAATTATCATAGACATTTTAAGAAGTGTGTATATACAATCTATATGAAAATTGCTCCTAGAAATAAGAACATGTTAACAGAAAATTGAGTCAACAAGGCTACCAGTTTTAGTAAATGGCAAAAAGATAGTGGCAGAATAGGGTAGCACAAAAATATCACAACCAAAATATGAATAGGTAGTTTTTACCCCCAGCTT